TGCCCGAATCACGCTCACCTCTGAGGCTCGTTGTTTGAACAGTCCCAAATCAAATTGTGAATAGAAAGAAGTTTCTCACAAAAGAACTGCCCTCGTGTATGGTATATGCAGTATTCTTTGTTGGAAAATGTAAATTTTGCAAAGGAATCATGCAAACACTGTAATCGTTCCTTGCAAACAGTCATGTTTACTCTGAATTGGCGGAACTATTCCATTGTGCTCAGACATCGAACAGCTATGGCCAAGGAATAATTACAGAAATCAGAATATGAGAATGATCGATTTCTTGGCGACGATTGATCTCTGATGTGCAATTTGAGATTAAGAAATATAACCGAAAAAAACGATTCCATTGCTGAACATAGCGTCGGAAAATTTTCAATATGTTAATAGGAAGAGTTGTGTTTTTCTGGGCACCTGAAGATCTCTGAGGTTGTTTAAGTGAGATTGATGAATTTGACATTTTGAAGTGTTTAGAGGATTTTCCTGGTGTTCTTCACGCATTCTATGCATAGAATTTTTATTTGAGCATATTACTCCATCACTCTAAACGATTTGATGTGTTCGAAGAGTTTTAGTCGTGTTATGAGTGCTGACTTGTTATCAACGCAGATCATCTCAGATAGCGATGGATTGCGATGTTTCTCTCCACTGAAACTATTGTCCATGGAGCAACTTTCTATGAAGCGACAGGCCACTTTGCTCGCCACTTGTTAGACAGGATGTCAATAACTTGAAAAAAATTAACAACAGCAACGTTACTGAAACAAAATAGGCTTTCATGAATAAACTTTCCAATCAGGTTTTCAGCTCATATACGTTGCTTTTACAGTTAGAATTTCAAGCATTATAATAACAATTGAAACCTAGACTCAAGAACATCGTAATGATAACGTGATTGCAATGTGCTGATGAGATTTCCCCGACAGCACACATTCAGAACATAAAATAACACAGCGCCGGATTGTTGCGATTGAAAAAAAACTGAAAATATTTTCACGCTATCTCATCAGCTCCAAAGTGCATTGTCTAGTTGGTCGATGTGCTATACATCAATCATACTGGGAAATTTGCTATACTTCATGATTTCATGTGAGAAAAATGCACATTATGGTCTTGCTGAACTAAAAAAACGTGGTTATTGTTTTAGTTTTGAAGCATTCCGTGGTTCTGATGCTACCAAAATAGAACATTGAGTGCGTTGAACTGATCCAACAATAAATTCATCCAATCAGTCACAAAGTGTATTCCCTACTTATCAATATGCTATACATCAATCATAAGGGGAAATTTGCTATCTTTTATGATTTCATGTGAAAAATTGGAGATTATAGTCTTGTTGAACTGGCAGAAACGCTGTTTTTTGATCATTTTTAAGGCATTCCATGCACCGAATGCTACCGAATTAATACACATTCTGTTCGCGGATCCATAAAATGACGGACGATAACTATTGCATGACAGTTGATAGTTAACAATGCAATAGCTACGATTATTTTACCGATCGAACCTGTTCGTGGTCTTTTCTCCAAGTCGGGTGGTGATGTGATCTTTGTGAACAAAAGAACTGCTCAGTCAATGATCAGCACCTGAGTGTGCTTGCTTGTGTTTGTTCATGAGTATGTGGTGCTCACTGCTCAAGCGCTCATTGCGCTCATGTAATCGCAACTCCTTCATCATTGGCCTCGAAAATCTTAAGTCATGTCACAGAACCGTCGTCACTTTTCCATTTGAATTACTTCAAAACTGGTTAATACCCTTATTTAACTCTGCCAAACATCCAGTTTATTTTTTGTACACGAGCAGCGGGTGTCATGACTAGAACAACAGGAACATGCCCTAGTCAGTTCTGTGCAGTCAGTGCTTCAACTGATAACAAAATTGACATTGTGTTCATTGTTCATTCACCATTCGATTGAAATCTTTTTGCAGTACTTCCTTCTGTTCATTGTGCTCTTTTATGTTGTAAATTTTAACGAAATTATTCATTATTCAAAAATGCAGCTTACTGCGTCCTTATCGATACCGTTCATTGCTCCTTATCGATACCGATCAATTCAATTCATAAGTTTCGATTGCATAGCAATTTTACCTTCCCATTCGATGCATTCGTAATGTCAGCATTTACTTTTGGACTTCAAGATCAACTCTCAGAACTTGTGTGGCTTATTTCGGCCTGGAAGTCATCACGCTTCGATAGGAAATAAACAACCAGAATGACGAGTTTTGTTGACTTGATAAGTTGGATATTCTGCAACAACTTTCTCATTGACTAGAATGTTGATAGGGATTAAAATGTGACTTTTCTTCAAAAATTGTTTTGGTAAACGTGCGTTGGTCGTTCAATATCTTTTAATATGCACCTCGAAACAGTTTCTATCATTTGATCGTTTTTCGATGCAATTGCATTCGCTTTTCTTCAGATGAGCTTGTTCTCATCCTTGAGAGCGCCAGTGTTGCTTCTTCTTGAGGTGACGGTCCTATTGTCTATTGGACCTGTTTCCGGCGATAATCTATTACTTGTTCAGCCGGTAAGATTTTGATTGACGCATCCGAAGTGGCGATTTCACCTTACTTTCACAAGTATTCATATTGAATTCTTGTTTAGGCACCTTATGAAAACATCAGCCGCAGCAAACTGAAATATCTTCTCACTATGAGCATCGGAGGTTCAAATCGGCCTCGCTCTGAAATTTTGTCAAACCATTGATTTTGCGTTTCAGATTTGGCGACATGGTGATCGTTCACCGACAACCACTTATCCGAAAGATCCAAATCAGGAGAGTGCTTGGCCACTGGGATGGGGTCAACTCACTCCGGTCATTTTTTACATCTCATCAAAGTTTTAGCCCGCATTAGAGATCATTGTATCGATAAAAATGGCGATTTCAGTTAGTAATTCCATGTGTTCATGTTGATAATCGTAAGAGCGTTTCATTTATGAAGCGTTGTTCTCTAGACTGGTATGCTCAAGGCACACAGGATTATGAGTTTTCACTCTAAGAATCACTGCACTCAATTAC